AAGATCGACTCACTTAGCAACTTTCAGTACAGCGTTATTAACTGTACTCACCATGCTGTACATTATATCCCCAGGACTTATCATTTCACAGCTGGAAATTTGCACCTTTTCACCCCCTTCACCTGTTTCTCCCAGCCCCCCAGCCCCCAGCTCTGGCAGCCACCCATCTGATCTCTATATCTAAGAATTCAGTGTTTTGTTTTTTGGCTTTTAAAAATGTTTTAGATTCCACATATGAGTGAAATCATATGGTATTTGTCTTTCTCTGTCTGACTGATTTCACTTAGCATAATGCCCTCATGCTGGAAATGGCAAGGTTTCCTTCCTTTTTGTGGCTGAATAATATTCCTCTGTGTGTGTGTGTGTGCATGTGTGTGTGTGTTTGCATCACATCTTCTTTATCCACCCATCCATCTGTGGGCGTTCAGGTTGCGTCCACATCGTGGCTATTGTAAACATACTGCAGTGAACAAGAGGGCACAGATGTCTTTTCAAGTGAGTGTTTTCATTTCCTCTGAATAAATACCCAGAAGTGGAGTTGCTGGATCATATGGTAGTTCTATTTTTAATTTTTTGAGGACCCTCCATACTGTTTTCCACAGTGGCTACAGCGGTTTCCATTCCCACCAGCAGTGCACAAGGGTTCCCTTTTCAGCACATCCTCGCCAGCACACTTATTTGTCTTTCTGACTGTAGTCACCATTCTGACAGGTGTGAGGTGGTCTCTCATTGTGGTTTTGATTTGCATTTCCTTGATGATGAGTGATGGGGAGCATCTTTTCATGTACCTGTTGGCCATGTGTGTGTTGTCTTTGGAAACATGTCTATTCAGATCCTCTGCCCATCTTTCATTTGGATTGTTGGTTTTTGCTGTTGAGTTGTTTGTTATGCTGTTATATGTTTGGATAGTAACTCCTTGTCAGGTATATCATTTGCAAATATTTTCTCCCATTCATAGGTTGCCTTTTCATTTTGCTGATGGTTTCCTTTGCTGTGCAGAAGCTTTTTGGTTTGATGTAGTCCCATTTGTTTATTTTTGCTTTTGTTGCCTTTGCTTTTGGTGTCGAATCCAAAAAATCATTGCCAAGACCAGTGTCAGGGAACTTACCACCTAGGTTTTATTCTAGGAGTTTTATGGTGTCAGGTCTTTTACCCATTTTGAGTTGATTTTTGTGTATGGCGTCAGGTAGTGGTCCAGGTTCATTCCTTGCAGGTGGCTGTCCAGTTTTCCCAACACCATTTGTTGCAAAGACTGTCCTTCCCATGCATATTCTTGCCTCCTCTCTTGTAAATGAATTGACCATATGTGCATGGGTTTGTTTCTGGGCTCTCTCTTCTGTTCCATTGATCTGTGTGTCAGTTTTTATGCCAATAGCATACTGTTTTGTTTGCAGTGGCTTTGTAATATAGTTTGAAATCAGGAAGCATGATGCCTCCAACTTTGTTGTTCTTACAGTTTTCATACAGATTTTAGTAGTACTTTATTGTATTTCTACGAAAACACCATTGGAATTTTCATAGAGATTATATCGAATCTATAGATTGCTTTGAGTAGTATGGACATTTTAATAATATTAATACTTCCAGTCTATGAGCTTGAATATCTTTCTGTATATTTGTGTCTCCTTCAGTTTCTCAGAAGGCAGTCTTCATTTCTAAATAAGTGCGTGCTTCTTGTCACCTGGACCTCTGTAATAGTCCAGTTACCACTCTCCCTACCAGCCCGCCTTATGCTGTTCTGCTACTGGAGTGACCTTTTAAATTGCAGCTAGGATTGCGTCACTCTTGTGCTTGCAAACGGAAGTGCTTCCCCCGCCCTCCGCCTTCAAGATGAAGGACAGACTCTCTATGCCTGCAGGCAGCGCTGACGGGAGCCTACCTTCTGCATCTCCTTTCCTCAGCCTGGGGCTTCGGCAGCACTTAACTGCTTCATGCTTTTCTGAACATGCAGTGCGCTTCACATCTGCCTTTTGATGAGTGCTTTCGTCCACTTCTCCCTTTCCTGACTCAAATGCCTGCAAGACTCTGCTCCGTTCTCACAGTCAACTGAAATTCTCGCTGTTCTCCTCAGGCTCCTTGCCTTTGTTACTGACCCTAGCAGGGCTTATTACAAGGATTTGAAGATAGGAGCTATTTGACTCTTTTAATAAAAATCTTCAAGTAGCCCACAGCCTGCTACACAGTAGACACTCAAAAGTTTAAATAACGCCTCGTGTCTGGAAGAAGATTGACCCCAAATTTATTTCGTTGTATACATATGTTTAAAATATTTTTTTCGTGATCATGAAAGTATGAAAATATATGAGAGGAATATCCACTGTTGAAAACTTGACTACGGGGACACCTGGGTGGCTCAGATGGTTAAGTGTCTGCCTTCGGCTCAGGTCATGATCCCAGGGTCCTGGGATCAAGTCCCGCATCGGGCTCCCTGTTCCGCGGGGAGCCTGCTTCTCCCTCTGCCTCTGTCTCTCTCTCTGTCTCTCATGAATAAATAAATAAAATCTAAAAAAAAAAGAAAACTTGACTACGTATGGAAAGGTTAGAGGAATATTATATCCACATGTTTCCCAGCATATTTGGTATATTTCTCCCTAGGCTTTTTTTTTTTTTTTTCCTTCTGTGTATACATCTGTAAGAATGTTTTAGGGAATTGAGGTTCAATGTCAAGTAGATTAGAGAGTTAAGGCTTTCCAAGGAGAGTATGGAAATAATTACTGCCCGGGGCGCCTGGGTGGCTCAGTCATTAAGCGTCTGCCTTCAGCTCAGGTCATGATCCCAGGGTCCTGGGATCGAGCCCCGCATCGGGCTCCCTTCTCCACGGGAAGCCTGCTTCTTCCTCTCCCACTCCCCCTGCTTGTGTTCCCTCTCTCACTGTCTCTCTCTCTGTCAAAATATAAATAAAAAGTCTTAAAAAAAAAATAATGATCAGCTCCCATTTCCAAGATAAGACAATGAGATTTTTTTTTTTTTTAAGATTTTATTTATTTATTTGACAGAGAGAGACACAGTGAGAGCAGGATCACAAGCAAGGGGAGAGGGAGAGGGAGAAACAGGCTTCCCGCGGAGCAGGGAGCCTGATGCGGGGCTCGATCCCAGGACCCTGGACCATGACCTGAGCCAAAGGCAGACGCTTAACGACTGAGCCACCCAGGCACTCCGACAACGAGATCTTTTAAAGGGGCCCTTCACTTTCTGCATTACTTCTAGTGGTCATAAAGCTCTGTTTCACTGAGCAAAGACCCTGCATGCCTCACGCATGTCATCATTAACCCCCAGCCCAGCCCCATGAGGTAGGCATCGCTTTTTCCGTTCTCCGGGTCAGGCAGTGACCACCCACAGTGTATCTGTGACGCCTGCCCTTAGGGACCCTGGGGCTCCTCAAAGCGCATCAGGAGCAGTGCAGACTAAGGATCCATTAGCTGAATATAAGGTGACAGACTGCCTGAAGAATCCCGACTCTTAGTGTTTTTATCTGTTTTGTAGAAAAGTTGTAATGCTTTACAAAAAGCTTGCAAACCACTGGGCTCGCTTACTTTACAAGTTCAGTTTTGTATAGTGTCCTTATAAAGCTGGCTAACTGAGATGTTACTGTACAGTGCTTTATCTCTTAATTTTAGTATGTGAAAAATTTTAAAGAATATTAATGCTGTATCTTTTGTGTGGTGTTCTAGACCAAAAATCATTCCAATTAATTTTGAGTTTAACATTATTAAGTAAATATTTTTCAAGTGCCTGTTATGCGTATCAGGCCATTCTAGGTGCTGGGGATATGGTGGTCAATAAAACAGACAAAATCCCTGCTCTCATGGTGCTTGCATTCTAGTGGGAAAAGTTAGTTTGACAATAGGAAAATAAACAGGAAATACCAGAGTGGTAAGTGGTTTTAGGAAAAGAAGACAGGCTGATGTGATAGAGAATTGGATGCCGGCTGCCTTCTGTTGGATCTCTGGAGCAAGCCAGAGGGGCTGACAGTGGGGATGGCCCGAGCAGTACAAAGGAGCAGCTGAGCCCCCATGGAGAAATTTGGAGACACTAGAACTTAAATGTGTGTCAAACCTTCGGGCAGGGAGTGTAACTTTCTAAGCCCAGAACTTAATAGTAATCACAAACAAAAAGCTTGTCAGATTTGACAAGATAAAACTTATGGACTTTTTAAGTAAAAAAAAAAAAAAAGTGGCAAACAATTCTGAAAAAAATATTTTAGAATATAATATATACACAGAATTATTTATTACAAGATAACAGATTAATAAGAAAAATAGAAAACTCAGTAGCTAAATGGCAAAGAAGCATGGGTCAGTAATTCCCAGGAGAGACTATATAATTTATAAACATCATTAGAAATCAAAAGAAACACAATAAAATGAGGAATCATTTTTTAATCTAAATTGACTTAAACTTGAGTCTTTGCTTTCATCCCATACTTGGAAGAATACAATGCAAGTAGTATTTTTGTAAATTGGGAAATTAGATAATTTCCTTTCGAAAAAACAGTTTGGCATTGTGTCCCAAAATCCGTATAAAATCTATTTCTTTCTTGTCACCATAATTTCACCTCTGAAAGTGTATTTTGAAACAAAATAAACATATACACCAAAACATGCTTCATTAGATAGTTGGTAGAGTTCAGATCTGCCTGTGGGCAAGTGTTTGTGTGACTTGGGATGCACACACTCGATGGCATGTTAGTTAGGTGTGTGTGGCAAATGGTCACACGAGCTGTGGTAGCATCAGGAAACGCTGCAGTGTAGAGGGAAATGCAAACAGCAGTGTGCAAAATGGTCTCTGCACTCTTTGTACTTGCATCTTTCAGATGTGCATGAAACAAAAAATGACTCGAGAATATACACCAACATGTTAACAGTGGTGTGTGTTAGAGTAGGGGCGTAAAAATTTTAACCAATATGTTTGAAAAAAAATTAATTTTTCTTTAAAAGCTTAACTTAAAGCCTAAATGACAACAATAAAGAAATTGACTCACTTCATCTTTCTGCAAAAAGAGCTTTGAAGGTACCATCGTGTGGGAGAGCCAAGACCTCCAAGGCCTTGTGTCAAGAAATCTCCACAAAGTGACTGTAAATGATGGCGGGGGCGTTCTCCGAGTCATTACGGTAAGTCATCCTTTCTTCCTAAGGCTGTTCAGCATACTTTAGCATTTTTTCAAACAGAAAAACTGTTTTTAACTTTATGTTTACATCAACCCAGGGAATGTGGAACAATGAATCTGGGGTATTTTAGAGCATGTACAGCAGAAAATGTTGAGTCACCATAGTAAAGACAAACAACTCAGATGTTCAATGATTTTCTCACTCCAGCGTTAGTAAATACATAGTAGTGCCTTAAGATTGGTGCACTTCAAAAAGTGTGATATTTTATTTCTCAATAATTTTTAAGCTAACATTTGGAAGGACACTTGCTCAGTAGTATTCAGAATCCTCACTCCCTCACCTTTATAGCAGGATGTTCGTTAAAATCGCATAGACGGCAGTACTGGAAAATACGATGGAGCTTTTGCTTTCGTTTATATTGCTGGGATTTCTGCCTCATATTTTTCATTTATTCAGATTTGCTTCAGATTTAAAAACAGTTTAATGGGTAAATATCTCCAAGTAAGTGTGGGACGATAAGGTGTAGACAGACTTCAAGCATTGAGCTTTAAATACACAAGAGGTGTTTGTGGTGGTGTCACAAACAGTCTCATTCTCCCTGATGCTCTGATGTAATGATTAGGAGAGTGCTTAGTATCTCAGTTCACAGGCTTAGTCTGTTTTCATTAACTATTCGTCTTATTCACGTGAATTAATTCCCGAATTTGAAATGAACCTTAAGTGGTATGCTGTTACCCATTTAGAAAACCACTCCTGGCCCACAGTGCAACTTACACTCCAGTGAGGAAGAAAGACATTAGATCACAGATTCATATATAATTACAAAACTTAGCCTTGTGGGTCGTGGTTAAGATCTCATCCTCTATTACAATAGTCCTTTATTTAACATAGAATGTCTTATGAAATTTAATTATAGTTTTATTCTTTTCTTTCCTTATTTCCAAGGCAAGTGCCTTTAATATGTCGCCCCCTTTTCTATTTATGAAACTTAAAAATATCCAAAATGTGCCGGAATTCTGTAGTTATTAAGTTGATTGCACAAAAGCAAATCAGACTCCCTGAGTTGAGGACTAGGTTCAAATGGAAAGACTCAAATGATCCACTTCGGGGGTAAATACAGTTGTAGAGGGCTAAAGAACACTTACACACTCAGCTAACCTTAAAAAATAGTCGGTATCTTGGTGGCCCCTTGTAGGAAACCCCACGTACAAATAAAGGTTTCCATCATAAATATGTAAAGCTGAAAGTTTCCCCGAGTCTTGCTCCCTTGCCAGCAAGTGAGAACGTCAGAAACTTTTAAAAGTCAAGCTGTGACCTTTTAGATAGAAGCTAATAAAAAGTACTATCAAGTTCTAAATAAGCCAAAACAATGTAGAGTACACGATGAATAAACAGAGCGTACAACCTTTCCTGGCTCCTTAAAGCTGGAAACGTTAGCATCGCCTTCAGTAGCTTCCTCCACATTGAGCTACAGAGTCTCTCTACGGCCCTGAAACTGCTCCGTGCAGTACAGCTCTGAGGGGACGGGCCAGGTGGGCGCGCGCACACACACACACACACCCGTGCGGTCGGGCCCGGCCCCGCTGGGGCTTCACGCTGGCGTGCAGAGGGGAACCCCCTCACTGGGGAACTTGTAGATCTCTAATCGTAAAAGCTCCTCCCATCGCCAGAGGCCGAGAGGACTATCGCTGGCCGTGGGCACCTTCCAACAGCATCAGCGAGCAGTAGGGCTCTGTCTGAACGGTTTGTTTGCGAGGCGCTTTCTCTGGGCGGTAGAGCAAACTTTAAAAATGTGCCTAGATGTATTTGAATTCATGGCAGTTTTCAGCCTCCGAGAAATCAAAGGTGATCATTTTTTTTTTTTAAGTGGTAGGGTTGGGATGCAAAATAAAATTGGTTTTGTACTATTATGGTAGCAAGTTCAAGACTATGATTCTGTGTCAGTTGGAATTCTGAGCACTATGGACTGCCATGTGCACCCGATCTTTAATATAGTAACCAAGAGAACAATCAGATAGCAAAAATAGGAGAATACTGATGTCATCCTGATCGTGTGCGTCTTAGATGGGTTTATTGCTGTGGAGTCACATTATAAATTTTGGCACATCAGTTTTAAAATAGAAGAAGTGTATTTTTAGTAATGAAACACTGAGTACTTCTGTTCTTGTTGCTTTCAGGCTGGGGAGGGTGCCTTGCCTCACGAATTCATGGAAGGCGTGGAGGGGGTTGCAGGTGGTTTTATTTACATCATTCAGGGTAAGTCTTGAAAGGTGAAGGGCGCGCTGAATTCATGTACCTAATCTTACTCCATACTTTGACAGAAAAGGTGATTTTTTTTTTGTCATTTAAAAAAAGACACATATATCCTTTACTGATACATAATTCACATATACCTTACCCTGGTTCACAGCATAGGAGAGTTCTGCAAGCATCTCCACTAACTCTAGACCATTTCCATCACTCCCAGAAGAAACCCTATGTCCATTAGCGGACACTCCTCATTCTCCCCTCCCCCAGCCCCTACCAACCATTAACCTCCTCACTGTCCTTTCTGACCGTAAATGTAAGGATTTACTTCTGGGCTCTCACTTGTGTTCTTTTGATCTGTGTGTCACTCCTTCTACAAGTTCTACACTGTCTTGAATATGTGGCTTTCTAGTAGGATTTGACATTGGGAAGTGTGAATCCTCCAACTTTGTTCTCTTTCAAGATTGTTTTGGCTCTTCTGGGTCCTGCATTTCCATACGAATTTTAGGATCAGCTTGTCAGTGTCTGCAAGCAAGCCAGCTGGGATTTTGAAAGGGGTGTCCGTGAACATGTAGAGCATTTCAGGCAGTGCTGCCATTCTGACAGTAAGTCTCTGATCCATGAACATGGATCTCCTTCCATTTACTTACGTCTTACTAGTTCCTTTTAGTGATGTTTTGTGGTTTTCAGAGCACAAGTCTTACATTTCTTCTAAGTTTATTCTTAAATATTTATTCTTTTTGATACCATTATAAGTGGAATTGGTTTTTACATTTCATTTCTAGATTGCTCATTGCTAATGTATAGAAATACAATTGATTTTTATATATCAATCTTGTATGCTGCAATTTTGCTGAATTCATTTATTAAGTTACTAGTTGTGTGGGTGCCTTAGGATTTTCCATATACAAGATCATGTCATCTACAAGTGGGGATAGTTGTACTTTTTTTTTCCCCCCCAATCTGGATGCCTTTTATTGCTCTTTCTTGTCTGTCATGGCTAGACTGTCTAGTACAGTGTTGAGTAGAAGTGGTAGAGCAGATATCCTTGTCTTGTTCTCGCTCTTAGAGGGAAAGCATCCAATCTTTCACCATAACGGGTGATCTTGAAAAATCCATGACCTTGAACTTTGTTGGCCCCGTGTGGCTATGTTTGGTTTATGCTGCAGCCAGGTGGGGACTTCTGCAGAACTGCTAGACCGTGGCCATATAGCTGTAGTGGACTTCGTGCTGTTGGTCAGTCAGAAGGGAAGAACCTTTTCTTCCCTGACCCAGCAAGCGAGGTGCATTTTGATGCCTGCATCTGTCCCTCTGTTGGAGGTGGCCCAGTGGACTCCGCTTCCCCTCCTGCTTCATGTGGACGCTTTCTCCTCATGATGTGAATATGTAAACATAGACTCCATCTTTCAGAGAACAGTTTCTTAAATGCTTCTCCTAATATATCACATTTCAAGGATGGATTTGTTAGATTCCTTTAAAACTTGGGGTCAGGAGCATTAGCTTAGAACTGTAGAGGGAATTTTGTTGTGATGGGAGTGGCTGTGTTTGTCTTCTTGAATCATGCTTATTTAAATATCTATCTATGAATTCCTGAGAATTCTTTAAGAAAGAAGAATTACCCTTGATGCAGTTGCTCTTGGCCACCTGTCCTGCACATTACCTGGGGAACAAAGGTGCCCAGTGGAATTTCCGTCTTGACATCTCAGAGCTCTGCAGAGGATGGATTCCTATAAAAGAATTAGGACCCAGCTTCCCTGAAGGCTGTCAGTGACTGGGGAAAGCAGAGCAGACCCTGAGAGGAGACTCTTTCGGGACCCCCTCGACAGCATGGTGTTGAGGATGGGGCACACCCCCTGTTTGAGGCACTGCATGTTGTTTGAGGATGCAAATGGACTGTGGCTTTTTTTTTTTTTAAGGTTTTATTTATTTATTTGACAGAGAGAGAGCACAAGCAGGAAGAGCAGCAGAGGGAGAGGGAGAAGCAGGCCCCCTTCCGAGCAGGGAGCCCGATGTGGGACTCAATCCCAGCACACTGGGATCATGACCTGAGCCGAAAGCAGACACTTAGCACACTGAGCCACCCGGGTGCCCCAAGACTGTGGCTTTTTTTATTTTTCATTTTTTTGAAAGCATTTTTATAGTGTTTCCTCCTAGAAGTAGTTGTATTCTTATATCACCCGAAAGGGTAGCCTGGAACAGATACATGGGTTTTGCCCATAAACTTGCCATTAAAAATAGAAATTTAAAATTTAGAGATCGTTAATTTCAGTCCAGAGATTTTTCATAAAACTATGAGACCACTCTGCCAAGGAAGGCATCCGCTTAGCTCACCAAGAAGCTAGCTAATAGCCCAGCCCTGGGGAAAACTCAGATCAGAAGCTCAGGCAGCTTCCTAAGGCAGTGCAGACGTGGGGCCAGGGGCAGGTGTAACGCACCATCTGACTGGAATATCCAGCACCTTCCCTTCTTTTACTGGTTCATTCCCGAATGTACCACCAGGAGCCTTTAAAAACTAGTTTAAGGGGCCCTTGAGACTCTGTCACTAAACTGTTCTACAAGGAGCAGCTCCTGTACCCTGGACAAAAGCTTGTCACAATTTTTCTGTCATGGAGGCTAAAGGAATAAGGTTTGGGTGAGGGACAAATTCTTTCAAATAAGACTGAAATAACTCAAGTTGTAGGCTAAAGAAATGAAAATGAATAGATTGTCTTCTGCAAATCTCAGTATAAATTAATTTTTTAAAATCAGGATCTAAATGCTATGAATTGGTTGTACATGAATTCTTAAATTTTGTCGGATATTAGCATCTCTGTCCGGGCCCTACCTCAAGCTACAAAGTTAAAATCTTCAGAAGTGGAGCTCAGATGTCTGTATCTTAACAGGCTCGCTAAACAGACATGATCTTCCAAACTTTGAGAGGCTGTAAACTCTGTGATTCTTTTAAGTAGCAACTAGATAGATCATCAGATTTAAAACACACACAGATCTATTACTTTATATTCCTGGTTTTCAGATATATACAGTATAAAACAAAAGGTGTCATTTGTTCATCTGAAAGACCTATATTTAATTTCTGCTCTCATCTTATTACAACCATCCTCCTGTTACTCCAGTTTTCAAAAGCTGTCACTTTCCTTCAAGTTGTTAAATTGTATATACTTTATCTTTGAAGTAAAGGGATATTACAGTAGAATGTAAGAGCTGGTGGGGACACAAGGTCATTCAGGCTTGTGTTTCTCCAAGGGTAGGCGTCTGTGGTCCACGTGCCTCAGAGTTCTGGGAACACACATGTTAAAAACAGAGTCTTGGGCCCACCCGAGACGTGCTGAGTGGTTAGGTTTGGGCTGCAGGAATGTATATGTCAAAAAGCAGTCCACTGATGTCGTCGTCCTCCCCCTCCTCCTCCCTCCTTCCCCTCCTCCCCCCCCCTCCCCCGATGAGAATACAGGCCCAGAAACCTGCAGCTTGCCCAGCATGTCCCAGAGCAGCAGAAGCAGAAATCAGATCTAGGCCTCCTGACGCGCAGGCCCCAGGCTTTCCCTTTGACGTTCCAGAAGGTGGGGTGCTAAACTACTCTGTTGTTTCCTCGCCCTTCAGCCACTCACTTTATTTTTTAGACGTTTTCTCTAATTTGAGTGAGACATTTGAGAAAATCCTGCCCTAGTGAAAAAGTGGCTGCCTTAAATCCATAGGATTTGAGGACAGTCCCTGCGCAAATGTGACAAGTGATTCATTAACGTGTGAGGTAGTAAACTGATGACTTTAAGCACATTTTTATTATGAAATATCACAGATATACCAAAAATAGCGCTGTAAGAAACAGCCGTGCCCTTATTATTCAGAATTAACAAATGCTTACATTTTGTCATATTTGCTCCCTTTTTTAAAGAAAAAACCATTACAGACACAGTGAAGCCCCATCCCAGCTAGCTGTCTGGCCCTGTCCCTCCCTCCCCTCAGAGAGGGTGCCCTGTCCTGAAATTTGTGTGCACCCTTCCCTTTCTTATTTTCCTACTTTCTACTACATATGTACATTATCTTTCCGTAACATGCAGTTTTGAGGAGAGTATTTTATCACTGAGGTCCACGGCATCATATTGAATCTATCAAGTAGAAACAAAGGTCCTTCCCCGCCCCCCTCCCAGCATCATTTTTCAGTGCCATTCCTCTGAGCATGCAAGATCAGGTTAATTCTTCTGCCTGCTCTTTTCCATTACATGACTGTCCCAAAGGCTGGCTACTCTCCCGTCGGGGGGGCGCATTTAGGCTGGTTCTCTTTCTCCCGTTAGAAACAGCGCTGCCAGGATCGGCCTTGTGAGCATGTGAGATGCAGACCTGTGGCCTCCCACGGCCTTCCCAGCTGCCGCTGGACCGCTGTGCACAGGAAGCAGCTGTGGACCCTGCAGATCCCTGCGGGGTGCGGGAGGGCCTGCTGCCCAGCTCGGCTGTCTCCCAGCTGCTCTCCGTTAGGTCACTCGGGGAAAGGGTGCGAGCCAACAGAACGTTCCACGTGCTGGGTCTTCCATTTGTGACAGCATCTTTCTCCATCTCTCAACTTTTCCTTTGTAGAAGGTGATGCACTCTTACAAAACCTTCATTCTCGCCCTCGAAGACTTCTTGACCACAGAAGTAATCTCCACAGGGAAGACGCCTTACTGAGGGAGGAGAGCAGCGTGTATGATGACATTGTTTTTGTGGATGTCGTTGACACTTACCGAAATGTTCCTGCGAAATTACTGAACTTCTACAGATGGTAGGTGGTAAACATGTGGGGTAGGTGGAATTTGTCTTACTGTTCTTTGGATGTAGGAACAATTTATTGACATTAGACCCCTGCATTTTTTTTTTTTTTTAATAAACCAACCCCAGAACCCCTGAACAACTAGGATGTGTGATCTATTATATCCTGGTTCTTTGTGAGGACTGAAATCATGCTGCTTTCTCATTCAGATGATCAGATCCGTGATGTGAATGATTTTTATCAAAAGTAGGGCAAAAGTTGATTTTGGGTCGTTCTATTCTGTCTGAGTCAAAGTCAGTCCTGTGAGTCATTGTCTTGGTTGCCTCAGGCCAACACCAGATGAAAATCAGTGAGTTTGAAAATGGCCCATTGTCAGTTGTGATCATACCCACTGACCTACATGACCTGTGTATAGTTTCCCTTGAACCCAGGTTACTGATCTGAATTCTGTTCAGCCGAACATCCACATTCTGTTTCCATCCTCTTCTTCATGCATTTAAGAACCACTTGCCCTAATTCCAAAACTTTTCTGTAAGACGAAATCCAACAGCCTCCCATAACTTGCCCACCCCTACAGGATTTCTTCGACCTGGGTTGTGACTCCTGCCTTCGGACCATTAACGGCAGCAACAATCCTAACCACTCTTGTTTATATGTACAGTTAACATGATTAGTTACTCCAGGGTCCGCTTACTTGCTCTTGAGCCCTGTGACACTGTCCACCCTCGAACTAACCCAAACTCTCTCTGTCTAGCCTAAACCTAGAGTATTTCCACATCTGTGTCTTTTTTTTTTTTTTTAAAGATTTTACCTATTTATTTGACAGAGAGAGACACAGCGAGAGAGGGAACACAAGCAGGGGGAGTGGGAGAGGGAGAAGCAGGCTCCCCGCAGAGCAGGGAGCCCGATGCGGGACTCGATCCCAGGACCCTGGGATCATGACCCGAGCTGAAGGCAGCCGCTCAACCAACTGAGCCACCCAGGCGCCCCACATCTGTGTCTTTTAAAACTGGATCAGGGAGCTTGTTTCTTGGTGAGCCCCTAAGTCTGCCCCTCTCTCTTCTCTGTTGCCCTGGGCAGAGTGGATGGATATAGTCCTGATTCGTTTATGGAAGGTCATGTTTCACGGCTAGGGCAAGTTAATATAATTTTGGAGTCACCCTGTGGCTAGAGGGCAGATAGATTGGAAATTGAGGTGTGTCTAGAATACCAGGGTTATATCTGGACAACTGTACTGAGAAAAAGAACCTTCTTTAGCTCAAGGCCCTTGAGAGGGGTCCCTGTTGTATGGGGGCCCAGGCAAGAATGGAAAGAGTTCAGTGAAGGGTGGGAATGGAGGTCCAGGAAGTGGGAAATCGGATTGTGGTGTTCTAGGACTTTCTCTAGGGAGCTGATTCCTGGTTGTGGAAGTTCAGTGTAGTTTATCTGTTACCTGCAGTTTAAGTCTTCTCTCCTGTACTCCTTGCACATCTCTGAGCTCTCAGTCGTCGCTGCCATGGTCTGTCTCGGGCCACCCTCTCCACCTGATCACCGGGGACAGGCTAACGGCCCTGGGCTCGGGGACCCGCTCCCCCCTCTCCTGTGCCACCTGTCCGCCGTCCATGCTGTAATGAAAGCTGCCTTAGTCATTCTTTCTTCAGGTGATTCCTCAGTGACCGCAGTGTCCTTTATCACAGAGCCCCTCCTAATTAGCAAATATTATGTGCTCCTGTGCTGTTAATTAGAAATGAACTTTAGAAGCAAGGGGTTGTGAGCTTTGGTGTGGACCTGTTGTCAAATTCACCATTCTTTGACCGAAAAATGCTTTCTCCAGATTTCTTTTATTCAGATTTCTGTCATTTGGTTCCCTAGCAAGACTCTGGGTTTTGTTTTGTTTTTTAATCAAAGGTGGACAGGGATTGGCAGTGTGAAATGAAGAAGTCCGTTTTGTCTCCACTCACCCTTGTATGTCTGGGTAAACGAAGTCACCCTCCTGGGCCTTCCAAAAGGTCATTTATAAGAGTTTAATTGCTGGGAATCGTTTCTGAGGGGAAATACGTGTCCGTGTTACAGCTCAGTGTTTTAAAAACCATCAAATACCTGAGTGGAGTATAACTCGTGGCACCGAATAGAGCATCTTGCACAGCAGGGTTCCGGGGGAGAGCCAGGGCGATGCTTGTCCTCTGCCTGTCCCCTCACTGTGGGCCCCGTTAAGAATCCCAGTGACAAGGTTCGCATGTTTGGCAGCCTGACGGGAACAATGTCACAGAAGCGTTTGTTTGCTCATAGGTCCCACTTCAGCCAGATCTTTTTTTTACTGTGTTCTTTTTCTTTGGCACCTTTAAAATCCGCTTGGTGCTTCTCTGTGTTATGCCACTTAATGAATATCAAGTGAGGATTGCATTCGGTAGCAGCGGTGTTCTGAGCACATGTTCTCAACCTCGAAGGACGAAGAAACTGAACAAGTGTGCAGGTCGTCCAGGGCCGGCTCTTCAGGAAGATGGTAGCGATGTCACCGCTTCCTTTCCTATGGACGCAATGACCCTCGTATTCCCTTTTGCCAACAGGACTGTGGAAACAACCAGCTTTGACTTATTGCTAAAGACAGATGACGACTGTTACATAGACTTGGAAGCTGTGTTTAATAGGATTGCCCACAAGAATCTGGATGGGCCTAATTTTTGGTGGGGAAAGTAAGTTAAACCTTGTTAGCCCTTTGGCTTCACGTACCTGATCAAAAGGAATTCATTTAGCATGAAACACACAAGCAAAATGTGGCCCAGATAGGGAGCCTCCCTCCCCCGCCCCCCAGGTCCTGGTTACTGGATGTTATCAATGTACAGTCAGAGGGAAAACCTGTAAAATGAAGAACTTCAGGCTAAGGTAATGAAGGAGGGGAAGACGATGTGGCTTTTATCGTCATGGCCTAGAAATAAGCACTACTCACGTGAGGAGCTGCCGTACGTGGTATCTTGTTAGAAGAAAGTTGTGACACATTTCTGAAATTGTGCTGTTTCTTCAGGAATCCAATATGGATTCATGATCTTCTTTAGCATATGTACACATGATGATGCTCTGGTACTTTCAGAAACTCCACAAATGTAACTTAGAGAATTTGATGCACCAGTCTTTCACGTAACACACCTGCTAGATAAAGAACGCCGTTCCTTAGACCAAAAAAAAAAAATGTTCCTCTTTCCTTGCTTTTACAGCTTGGTCCTTTGTAGTGATCATAAAGGGGTCCGGCCTAATAGTGGTAGGACAGCCGTCACGCCGACACGAAGAAGCCAACTGTTTTTGACTCTCAGTTTCAGACTGAATTGGGCCGTGGACCGGACCGGCAAGTGGCAGGAGCTGGAGTACCCCAGCCCCGCCTACCCAGCCTTTGCCTGCGGCTCGGGGTACGTCATCTCCAGGGACATCGTCCACTGGCTCGCTGGCAACGCGGGCAGACTCAAGACCTACCAGGTAGTTCCGGATTTCTGACCTGACGGTGTACTCTTCACACCAAGTCTCATCCAGCCCGGGAGTCCGTCTCTGAGCACAGAGCCAGCATCCCTGGGGGAAGGCATGCTGTTCCTTCTGTAGAGGAGTCACCCTCAGAGGTCAGGGACACAGTCCTAGCCTCCAGATCCTGGCTCTAAATTCTGTTCCTAAATCTTTCTTTGAGCCTACTTACTAGGTTTTCAGACTCCATTTACAAGTGTAGTCCCTGGAGGAATGGAAAGCTTGGCATTCACAGGAAGGAAGACTGTAAAGCAGGGGCTTTCTTTTTTGCTGATTCTGGTGACCGCGTCACTAAACAGCCCGCCTAGCAGTTGGATCCACTGTATCGTTTATACAGCCGGTGCTAGAGGTGTGAGGCCCCCGAGAAGGGCTGTCTTGTGTCCAGTCATTTCATCATGGTGGGTGTCAATGGCCACTAGCTGTTACTCCGTGTACAAGTGTAATTACAAAGCCAAGAAGTGGAAAGATGACTTATTACGGGAATGTGGGGCATCGTGTTTAGAGATGATACAGCATTTAAACTTCTGCATTTAAATTTCACGGGGCGCATACAGGGTGAAGACGTAAGCATGGGCATCTGGATGGCAGCCATAGGACCTAGTCGATACCAGGTAAGTGAGCCTGCGGGGCGGCTAGCCCTGGGGTTCTGAGGAACTGTGAGGAAATGAGGTTTCTGGGTCAGACGTTGGGCAGAAACAGTGACTTGAAGGTCTGTCATCAGAGCTGTGCTCTTAATGCTCTTGGTTTAATTCCCAGTAATCCACCCAGGTTCTCATATTTTTCTGAGTTTAAACCAAAAAAAAAATGTTTGGATGGAAGTTTCCTACCCACAGAGAAGAATTAGGTTTTTACATGTTTGATTAGAAATTCTTTGTAGCTTTAAAATGTAAGGAATCAGGGGTGCCTGGCTGGCTCAGTCAGTAGAGCATGCAACTCTCGATCTGGAGGTCATGAGTTTGAGCCCCATGCTGGGCATAGTGATTACTTAAAAAAAAAAAAAAACAGACCTTAAGGAATCAGCTGGCTGAAGTTTCCAGCAGCGTGATGGTCCAAGGACCCTTCAGCCCTTCTGACTGATGAAAATAAAACACTGGATTTAAAATACCGGAAGGTGTTTTTGAAAATACACTGACCGCTGAGCCAGGGAAAGAAAGAAATAAATCTGCAGAGACCAGAAATGGAAGAGAGCAGGCACGAAGCTGAGCTTCGCCTCAAAGCTTTCTGTTGAATTTTGGATTCTTGCAGCTTCCACTTGGCCACAGAAGGTGCAGGGGGCAGAGGAACATGCAGGGCCCCCTCACTTCAGGGGTGAACGGGAGTAAACCCGCATCTACTGGGTCAGCTGTGACAGTCTGTGTCCTATTGAAGTGCCAGCTTTGACTTGTTGAACACTGAAGATAATTTTCTGTGTCTGATTGTGGTGATAGCTGTGTCGTTTGTGGGTCTGTGTAGGCTGATGTGTCCACAGACCGTTGCTCATGGAGCTTGTTTCCTGATGTGTTCAGAGACTTGTGTGTGTAACCTCATGTTCCTTGGAAATGGAGGCATTTAAAATGCATTCTTGCAAAGAGGATTTATGTTGTGTGTGCCTTGCACCGAAGGGCATTCCCATCTCTGATTGCATTGTTGGAGAACGTGACTCCTGCCATATACCCAGCTAAGTGCAGGCTGGGCTTCCAGATGCTCAGGGCAGACCCCTTTCCATCGCACCCAGGGTCAAGGCTGAGTCGCAGGTTCTGTTTTCTGAATTACACAAACACACACACACACACTCCTCCTCCCTCTCCCCCAGGTCTGTCTGGCACCTCAGGGGCCCTGGCTCTGAGTCTCCCTGTCGCTGGACGTGGCCTTTTCAAACCCCGCAGAGCCTTCAGGGCACGTGCTTACCCCGGCCCCTTTGCCCCAGTGTCTTCTCCTTTGCCACCGGCTCAGCCACGCTTTAACAAGGCGCGTTTGATAGTACGCAGCATCAGTGTGTTCTCAGACCGAGCGAGCTTCTCTGGCTCTGTGTTCTGTCTCCGAAGGAGGCTGGTGCTCGGGACTCAGGCTGAGTCCGTTTTGGTCCCTCGGGTTCACCTCACCCACATCGGCTTCCCTTTGCCAACTCCACTGCAACCCTGGGCAGGGCCCTTGACTCTCAGCTTGTCGTCTGGGAAAGGGAAAGGGGTCCTCCCTCGCCGGGTTTCTGGAGAATTAGCTAATACTTGGTACGGCCCCCAGAATGTCGGACGACTCCGCGGGGACAGCCGCAGGGAGCTCCGTGTGTGCTGCCCGGGCTTTCTGGTCACAGAAGTCCCTCTGCCGCCTGCCGCCCACCCCCCCCCCCCGGAACCCACGGGCTCAGCCCCACGGCTCCCGAGTCACTTGTGTGTGGTTTGTCGCCAGGACGGCCTGTGGCTGTGTGAGAAGACATGTGAGCCGGGCATGCTGTCCTCCCCGCAGTACTCGCCGCAGGAGCTGACGCAGCTGTGGCAGCTGAAGGAGCGGTGCGGGGATCCTTGTCGGTGCGAGGCAGCCGCGGGAGGGTTTTAACCGGCAGCGCTGCGGGAGCGGGCGCAGGAGCAGCAGCGTGAGCGGCCACTGAGCAGAGTCCCCCGAGAGCCCACGGTGGGGCAGCAGACGCCTGGCGGCCCGGGATAGTGCTCGGTTGGCACTTTTTACCTGTAACCAACGTGATCTTTCTAAATGTTTGCACAGAATGTCCTTTTTAAAAATCAGCTGATCCTGTACATAACAAAAATTTTATTTCTATATTGCAAGACTTTGAAAAACACCAAACTGTTTTATAAAACAAAAAACATTTCTAAAACCTGATGTATCATTTCTACTTTATAATTCATTACCTATCACTTTTGGCTAAAATTGGCCTCGTTCAGAAATCTTAGTAGCCAAGAATGTGAATTCCAGCCTGGATTATGGAATGGCCCTGTAAGGCATAATTAGGAAAATTAAGGGCCAAAAACAACTCACAGAATGCTGTGTGGTCACTTATACCAAAGTTTGGGAATGGAAATGTCTGAATGAAGTGGGCAACTGGAAAAGGAACCCATATAATTCTCAGTTCTGGACCTTGGTTTTAAAGTTCACTTATTTATTAAGTGAGCTAATTACAGTTTTCTTTTGCCATTTAACATAGATCCTGAAGGTCACAGTCTAGTACTATTAAAAAAAAGCTAAAATTCTGTGGCTGTAAATCGAATACCTCTCAGGGTTTTAGTGACGTAGGGAAAGGATACAGCTAAATAGTGGGCACTTAGAAAGAATGAATTTTTTCTTTCCTCCTGTCATTGTGTAATGTTTACCTAACCTAACTGAATTCTGATCAGAGATGGAAATCTTCTGTAGAAGAATATATGCCCAGCTTAGGTACAACTGTAGGGAAAAGCATATAATGTATTTTTGTAAGTACTCTTAAAAACAGTGTGACGGAGGGAAGAGATCATAGCATACGTTATACATAGAAGAGGCGGCTCCCTAAGTTTAAGGGACATTTCCCAAAATGACTATCCAAATCAAACCTTTTAAAACTAGTAGTATCCATAGAGTTCCACTAAAACTGGTCCTATGACCGACATTATGTTCAGATCTCATTAGACTAGCTAGGTTCTATTTAATATTTAAATCTCCACATACTGAAATGTATAGTCATGAACTATAAATATGAAATAAAATCAGAAAATCATTAGTAGGTGCAAAGCCTTTATTACTACTGTTATATACAAGCCTAGAAATGGTCTCTTCCCAATGAAAAATACCACCTTTTCTATACTTAGGGCAAGGTGTAAAACCTCTCTCTTTTTCTAACAGAACTGTTCCAATAAATCCTTTATTTCCGGTACCCCCCCCCCCGCCCCGAGTCAGGATAAACAGTGCAGTCCCCGAACTTTCTTAGTTCACTGTTACCATCGCACCAATAGACAATCTCCACTTTCCACAGAATAAAACTGTAATGACTGCTGGTCATTTTCTAGTTCAATCTCTCTGCCAGGCATCTACAAATAGAACAGAGGGTTGGGGTGATAAAGACAGATCCGTCTTAATACATGTGCCCCCTCCCAAACAGAGGTGTATGTTTCCCATTTAGAAGCAACCCGTATCACACTTGGGGGACATAAGCCAACTCTGTGTTCTGCTGGGCTACTTACTTTGGGGCTTTCATAGGACAGCAGAAGTTCCGACACAGGAACTTTGAGAAGACGGGCCAGCAGTCCCTTCACCTTCTGAATTGTCATGGAGTCTGTCAAGGAAAGAAACACCCTCAGTTCTCTCGAATGACAGTTACGTGTAGAACTAGCTCACCTGCCAAGACCCCAGTCGCAACGATTCACGGTACCCGGTTCCCCGCGGCAATCAGTAGGGAGAGGCTCGCCCACCGCGTGGACCCGAGAGCCGGTTCCACACCGCTGACCTGACCTGTGGGAAGCTGTGGGGAACCGAGCAAGTGTCTGACCGAAGTGCCCTTTGACAGTGGCTTTTCATACCATTTCAGTGGTGGTGAATATTTCCTCCTGCATCTGAATAAACCAGAAATCATCTTCTCTGCAGAGAGGAGTAAATGTGAGTTAAAATCATTCACTTTCTAAACCTCTGTGATTACTCGCTCATGGATGGCTGAGAGAACACTGGAGTGGGGGCTCAGGCGTCCAGAGGGCGCCTCTCCATCACTCTGCCTTGGTTTCCCCCTCTGTAGAGCGACGGAGGGACCGGCAGTCCGCAGGCTCCCTGCGAGCGCACGCAGGGGACCTGCTTCACAAGCAAATGCTTTGGTTTGTTCAGAAAACACTATGAACTTCTTTCCAAAGATGGGTGGTGGTAAATACTGGATATTTTGATGAGAAACAGAGTTTCTCTGAAGCTTTAGCTGGAGGTACAGCAATAGTATGGTGTTCCTACAAATACCACATGTATTCAAATATTTTTCTATCAGAAATGATTTTTGTAAAGCTGTCTGTGTTTTTATGCAACTTGTGCTAATAAATGTTATCTTTATTTTAGAATAAAAACTGGCCTTGTTTATGTGTTGAATATAAACAATTGACATCATTCACATAACTTGTTTTTTTACGTGTGAATGTGTGTAGATAATCTTGTCCTTTTATAAAGATTTCAGTGCACCGGCTTCCACTGTTCTGAGGGTGGTTAGTGATGGGTTAACTCCTACCTAGCAACGGAAAGGACACATTCCTAAGTCGCGTCAGAAACAAAACGTTTGGTCCTACAGTCCTGATGAGAAATCTGCCCACTCGCACTGTGACTACAGGAAAGGTGGCAATTTGCACGTAATGCTCTAAATAACGTTACCATTTCTAATGTAAACGTCTAACACACGATTGTCTTAACATTCAGAAAATGTAGAGATGGTTGTGCCTCCCTAGGACGAGTGTGAAAGTTTAACGGGGGTGTACACTTCCAGGCTTTTCTCCGGTTCTGTCAGGACGGGTGGGTTTCATAATGTACTGACCACACGTGCTCCTTTCTCGTCCAGTCATCCATCCGTGCGGCCAGCCGGCACTCAGGACGACTCAGGACTGAATTTTTTTATTTCAGTTTAATGAATTTCAATTTAAATTGCCATCTGCAGCAGCCATACTGGCCAGTGGGGCCCCAGACTCCCGTGTTCTCGCTCATGCTACCTGATGCTGCAGGAGTTCAGTCGGCCCTTTCCTTCCCCGCTGGTAAACATTTAAGTGGTGGTGACATTTGCCATTACAAGTGCTACAAAGTAGAAATTTTAAAAATGTGAAATTACTGCACTGACCAGCAAAGAAAAGTATTTTACGAGAGTCCCTTAGGGTGATACACATTTCATCTCTTCCTCAGCGCCTCGCCGCTCCACACTCAAGCTGCCCATACCGCTCTCTAACCGAGAATCAGGCTTTATCCGGTAATTCACAGTATACTTGAAAGAGGGACTGTAATTGTAAGTTTACGGTACATTAGATCAATCCAGTTGGTTGACACAAAAGTTTTTTTTTTTTTTTTTTTTTTTTAAGATTTTATTTATTTGACAGAGAGAGACACAGTGAGAGAGGGAACACAAGCAGGGGGAGTGGGAGAGGGA